GGGGGGGGAGGCGAAGGAGGTGCCGGAGGTGCTGCTGGACCCGCGGAGCCGTCGGCGGTACGTGGTGGGGCGCTTCCTGGGCAAGGGCGGCTTCGCGCGGTGCTACGAGCTGACGGAGGGCGAGAGCGGCGCCGTCTTCGCCGGGAAGGTGGTCCCCAAGGCGCTGCTGCTGAAGGCGCCCCAGCGGGAGAAGATGTCCATGGAGATCGCCATCCACCGCAGCCTCCAGCACCGCCACGTCGTCGGCTTCCAGGGCTTCTTCGAGGACGCCAACTTCGTCTTCGTCGTCCTCGAGCTCTGCCGCCGCAGGGTGAGTTTCACTAGCCGCCTCGGTTGCTGCTGCCGCCTCCCGGGCCGGGGGGGGGGGCATTTGCCAGCCAGCAGGGCCTCTCTGGGCGGGCATTGGCTGAGTGCTCCTGACGTCAGGGAAGGTCAGGCACGCTCAGCCTGCCAGGGGTGGGGTGGGGGACACTGGTTGCCCTTCGAGCCCAGGGAAGCCAAGGAAACATCCACAGCCAGGCCCCCAGAGGTCCAGACCAGAACCAGCAGGTTGAAACGAAGTCCAAAGAGTTTTTGCCTAAACACCAGGAAGGGCTTCCTGACAGTTAGGACAGTTCCTCAGTGGAACAGGGGGAGGAGGGGGTGGTCTCCCCTTCTTTGGGGGTTTTCAAGCAGAGGCTGGGTGGCCGTCTGACAGCCATGCGGATTGTGTGGACTTGGGCAGATCTCAGGGCGTAGTTCTCGTGGCCCCTTCCCACGCGCCCAGGGAAATGCCAATGGCCACTTTGGGGTCAGGAAGCAGTTTCTCTCCAGGCCAGTTTGGCCCCGGGGATCCTGGGGAGTTTTCTTGCCCTCTTCTGGGCATGGAGTGGGGGTCACTTGGGGGTGAGGAGATATCTGTGAATGTCCTGCCTTGTGTAGGGGGTTAGACTAGATGACCCTGGGGGTCCCTTCCCACTCTATGGTTCTATGAGCCTGGGAGTGGCAGGAAAGGAAGCCGGGGGCTGGACCTCGGAGGGAGGGACCAGGTTGCTTCCCAGGGGGAGCTGATCTCTCTCTCTAGACTGCCTCTCTGTCTCTCCCCCCCACCTCCAGTCTCTTCTGGAGCTGCACAAGCGGAGGAAAGCGCTGACGGAGCCGGAGGCCCGCTACTTCTTGCGGCAGATCATCCTGGGCTGCCAGTACCTGCACAGCAACCGGGTCATCCACCGCGACCTCAAGCTGGGCAACCTCTTCCTGAATGACGACATGGAGGTGAAGATAGGTAAGGGGGCTCGGCCCACGGAGCAGGCGCCCTCCCAGGCCACAGACTTAACCTGCTTGAGCGTTCCCGTCTTCCTCGGGAAGCTGGGCACCGCTTTCTTGGCAGAAGTTCCTTGGAAGGGGGGCGACCCAGTGTCTTCTTGGCCCGTTGCGCTCCTTCCCCGACTTCAGAATCGGGATCTCTAGTCCCCTCCCTGGCTTGTGAAAGAGACGGCTGTTAGCAGCGTGGTATTTGGGGGACACCTGTGTGTGTTCCGGCAGGCCTCCCCGTGGCCTGCCCCTTAGGCGGTCAAGCAGCCTGGACTTTGTAGTGAAATGACATCACGTCCCAAGGGGGCCACTTGCTTTCCTGTTCACTCTGTGGGGACTCAGGGGTGAAGCTTCGTTTGTACCCTACTTTTCTCCCCAAGGGAGAGCCAAAGCAGTTTGGTGCAGTGGTTAAGTGCAGGCGGACTCTAATCTGGGAGAACCGGATTTGATCCCCCACTCCTCCACTTGCACCTGCTGGATGACAGCTGTTCTCTCGAGAGCAGTTTTCTCAGAGCTCTCTCAGCCCCGCCTACCTCACAGGGTGTCTGTGGTGGGGAGGGGAAAGGAAAGGAGATTGTAACCTGCTCTGAGACTCCTTTGGGTAGTGAAGGGCGGGGTATAAATCCAATCTCTTCTTCTAGATCAAAGTGATAGAATAAGATGAATTTTGGAGTATCCCTTGTTAGGTATGCTGGTGTGACCTTGGGTCAGTCACAAGTTCTCTAAAGGGCAGTTCTCGAAAGAGCTCTCTCAGCCCCACCCACCTCACAGGGTGTCTGTTGTGGGGAGGGGAGGGGAAAAAAGTTTGTCAGCCGCTCTGAGACTCCTTTGGGTAGCGAAGGGCGGGGTACGAATCCAACCTCTTCTTCTGATGTTCTGTCGTCTGGCCTAAAGAAAGTCCCCGCCCAGTTCCAGCTGCAGAGTTTGGGGTAATGAAGCCATTTGTGTGAAGGCGAAGGCACCCCAAGATTGTCCGTGTGAGAGGGCTTCTTTCGGTCCCGTCTCCAAGGGACCAAATGGCTCTCTGGCTCCCCCCCCCCGGTGAATTTACTGCTGGGGGTGCTTTTGAGGACTGGTGGCAAGAAAGGAGGTCTCCCCAAATGATGGTCAGGAGCCATTCGAGATGTACCAGGGGGAAGGCTGGCACAGGAGGAAGGAGAAGAGGAGATTGGATTTATTCCCCTCCCTTCACTACTCGAAGGAGTCTCAGAGCGGCTCACAAACTCCATTCCCTTCCCCTCCCCACAACAGACCCCCTGGGAGGCAGGCAGGACTGGGAGACCTCTCTTGAGAACAGCTCTGAGAGAACTTGTGACTGGCCCAAGGTCACACCAGCAGCTGCATGTGGAGGAGCGGGGAATCAAACCTGGTTCTCCCAAATTAGAGTCTGCGCTCCTAACCATTACACCAAACTGGCTCTAGAGTTGGATTTATCCCCCCCCCCCCTTCACTACTCGAAGGAGTCTCAGAGCGGCTTACCAATTCCATTCCCTTCCCCTCCCCACAACAGACCCCCTGTGAGGTAGGTGGGGCTGGGAGAGCTCTCTTGAGAACTGCTCGTGAGAGAACTTGTGACTGGCCCAAGGTCACACCAGCTGGCTGCATGTGGAGGAGGAGTGGGGAATCAAACCCGGCTCCTCAGATTAGAGTCCGCACACTTAACCACGATACCAGACAGGAGAGTGATCCTGAGCAGCCAACCTGGAACCATGAAGATATCATTGTCTCTCTCTCTCTCTAGCATCCCAGAGACAAGTTTCAGACATAGCCGGGGGACAAGCCCTGCATTTATCCCCTTTCGTTTCCCCCCTGCTCAGATGCTTGTGGTCCTTTCGCTCTGTTCTTGATTGGGGGGGGGGGGGTTTAAGAAAAAACCCAAAGATTGGGGGCGGGAGTCACCTTGGCCGCAGCCCTGACCCCGGGGGTGCCCCCGTCTTCCTTCCATCTTTCCAGGTGACTTTGGCTTGGCTACGAAGGTGGAGTATGAGGGGGAGCGGAAGAAGACGCTGTGTGGGACCCCCAACTACATCGCCCCTGAGGTGTTGGGCAAGAAGGGCCACAGCTTCGAGGTGGACGTCTGGTCCATCGGCTGCATCATGTACGTTGTGGGGGGTCTTGCGGTAGGCTGGCAGAGTTGTCCGTCCGTCCCCCCAAGTATATTCCAGTACTGGCTTGTGCAGATGCTGAACTTGGGGGCTCTAAAAGAGATGTTCAAGTTGCCAGTCCGGGTGGTGATTTTGGGAGTAAAGAATATTGTACACACAGGCCAGCTGGTGAGAACAGTCATGACATTTGTCTTAGGACTTGGAGGCTATTCTCTCTTTGCACAACCTGGGTGAGAATACGGGGGTTGCCCCCCCCCCCAGTTTATTTATTTATTAATTGGATTTATATCAGGCCCTCCCCAAATCGGCTCAGGGCGGCTAACAAAAGAGGCAAATGCCATAACAAACAATTAAAACAGCATAAAAACAATCATTAAACAAAGTGCGGTGCTCTTGATGTTCTTATTAGTCCAAGATGGATTCCATTTGTCAACCTTACCTGACGGCATACGTTCTTCGGTCATCTAGGTGTCTTCCCAGGGCCGACTCACCTCTAAGTCTAATCCACCGTTTACAGTTTCTGCTCAGGTATCCGCTTTAGGACAGGAAGACACCTAGACTCCATCCGGGCTAAACTTCTAAGCAATTAACTTGCCACAGAACGACAAAGTTCATCTTTAAAGGGAGATTGTTCTAACTTTGATTTTTTTAAAAAAAAACCCGGTAATCTGCCGAATTCTGCAGACAAGAATTTTGTTTGTCCGACTTGTGTAACCAGTGTTCTCTCTAAGCTGAGTTAGTGTGAGCTAGCTCACAGGTTTTTAGCCTCCGGCTCACACGTTCTTGTCTCAGCTCAGGAAGGAGGGCTCCAGAGCAAACTGATTTATGCCGTAGCCAAATCGCTCTCTCACAACTTTAATACCAGTAGCTCACAAAGCAGAATTCTGGCTCACAAGACTCCACAGCTTAGAGGGAGCATTGCTTGTAACCAGTGTTCCCTCTAAGCTGAGTTAGTGTGAGCTAGCTCACACTTTTTCGGCCTCCGGCTCACATATTGTTATCTCAGCTCAGGAAGGATGGCTCCAGAGCCAACTAATTTATGCGGCAGCCTAGTTGCTCGGCCACAACTTTAATGCCACAATTCACAAAGTAAAATTTTTGCTCACAAGACTCCACAGGTTAGAGGGAGCATTGCTTGCAACCAGGGTTCCCTCTAAGCTGAGTGTTTTGGCCTTAGGCTCACACATTTTTGTCTTGGCTCACAAAGGATGGATCCGGAGCAAACTGATTTATGCAGTATAGCCAAATTGCTCACTCACAAAGCAGAATTTTTGCTCACAGGACTCCACAGCTTAGAGGGAGGCATTGCTTCCAGTAAGGGGAAGGTTTGCTCCACTGTTGAGCCCTGGTTTTAAGGGAATTTTCAAAGCTTGGTCCCATATTCTGCTTTCTGGAGTAGCCACATGCTCTGTGGCAGACAGAAGCACACTGCGAAGAGGTGGATTGGGCCCTTCCCTACAGAGCTGCTCACTCCCACTTCAACAGAAGCTGCTGCTGCTACATCCATGCCCCCCCCCCCTTGCAAAATTCAAGTTAAGAGTTTAGGTTTCGATGGGAGTTTCTTACTTGAGGGCAACACTCCCTCTAAGCTGTGGGATCCTGTTTGCAAAAATTCTACTCTGTGAGCTACCGGCATTAAAGCTGGGAGCGGGCGATTCGGCTGCTGCATAAATGAGTTTGCTCAGTCTGGAGCCATCCCTTCCTGAGCGGAGACAAAAATCTGTGAGCCGGAGGCTAAAAAAACCTGTGAGCTGGCTCACACTAAACTCAGCTTTGAGGGAACCCTGCTTGGACGCTGCTTGAGAGGTGGTTGCCCGGGGGGGTGGGGTTTCCCGGGCGCCCCCCCCCCCCCGCTAGCGAGCAGCAAGCCCTCTTCCGTCTCTTGAGTTTCCGTGGGGGGGTGTCTCTCTCTCCACACAGGTACACCCTCCTGGTCGGAAAGCCACCCTTTGAAACCTCCTGTCTGAAGGAAACGTACCTGCGGATCAAGAACAACGACTATACTGTCCCGTCGGTATGGCCCTGCTGGGACTGGGTGGGGTGTGTGTGTGGAGTTCAAAAGCGGCCCCCCGCCCCCCCTCTGAGACGCTCGCTCTCCCCATCCTTCCAGCACATCAACCCCATAGCTGCTACCCTGATCCGGAAGATGCTGCGCTCGGACCCAGCCACCCGCCCCACCATCGAGGAGCTGCTGACCGACGACTTCTTCTCGACGGGCTACATCCCCTCCCGCCTGCCCACCACCTGCCTGACGGTCCCGCCCAGGTTCTCCCTGGTCCCCAGCGGGCCCGACCCCAGCGGGAGGAAGCCCCTGGCCGTGGTCAACAAAGGTGAGCGGGTGGGCAGGTGCGGTGGACGTGTGGGGAAGGAGGGCTCCGGCCTGAAGCCCCCGGGCCCTAGCCCCCAAAGTCATCCCCACTTGGAAACCAGAACTGTCTTGGCTGACCTGGCCCCAGGTGTTCCTGAAATGCAGACAACTGGCAGGGTCTGCGGAGGGAAGGGGAGTAAGAACCTAAGAGAGGCCAATGTTGGATCGGGCCGATGGCCCATCCAGTCCAACACTCTGTGTCACACAGTGTCCAGAAATACCAGGTGCCATCAGGAGGTCCACCAGTGGGGCCAGGACACTAGAAGCCCCTCCCACTGTTGCCCCCCCCCCGGCACCAAGAATAAAGAGCATCCCTTGCCCCAGACTGAGAGTTCCTTGTCTATCCCTGGGGGCTAATAGCTGCTGATGGACCTCTGCCCCATACGTTTATCCAATTCCCTCTTGAAGCCGTCTATGCTTGTAGCCACCGCCACCTCCTGTGGCAGTGGATTCCACGGGTTCATCACTCTTTGAGTGAAGAAGTCCTTCCTTTTATCTGTTCTAACCCGACCGCTCAGCAATTTCATGGAGTGCCCACAAGGAGTTCTTGTATTGTGAGAAAGGGAGAATTTCTCTACCTGCTCTATCCCACGCAACATCCTGTGAACCTCAGTCATGTCACCCCATAGCCGTCGTTTCTCCAAGCTATGACTTATGTGTTGTTATGTCATGTTATATTTTACATTGTGTTTTAGAATGGTTTTAACTGTATGAACTTTTACTGTTAGAACCCGCCCTGAGCCCGTCAAGGGCAGGGCGGGATACAAATCCAATTAAATAAATGAATGAAGAGCCCCAACCTCTCCTCGTGGGGAAAGTGCTCCAACCCTTTTATCCTTCTAGTTGCCCTTTTCTGCACTTTTCCCATGTTCCCTTTGCAAATTTCCCCATTGATAAAGTGGGCCAACTTTGGATTTCAGGCTGGACATCGCTAGAATGAAAGGCAGCTCTGAGAGGTTTGGGGGCCAGCCAGTGGCCAGGGAGAGACAGAGCGGGGGGGGGTGTCTGTGGGGGAGGGGTCTCCTTGCCGTCTCCTTCCCTCCCCCTGGCGGCCCCGCAGTTCCTCATCCCGGCTGCTTCCTCCCTTCTCAGGCCCAGACAGCCCCGTGCCGGACAAGTTGCCCGAGAAGGACGAGGAGGCGGCCCTGCGGGAGCCGGGTGACTCTGTGGACAGTCTCCTGATGGACCTCCTGCAACAGCTGACCGTGGTGAACTCCTGCCGGCCTTCTGAGAGAGTGCCTGTTAGACAAGGTGAGGGGGGCGTGCCTGTGTGTGGGGGGGGCGGGGCGAATCCCCGCCGGCTGCATTTCACTCCTTAACGCTGTTCCTTTCGCTCTCTTTCTTTCTTGCAGAGGAGGCCGAGGACCCTGCCTGCATCCCCATCTTCTGGGTTAGCAAGTGGGTGGATTATTCGGACAAGTACGGCCTAGGTGGGTGTCAAGCCGGGCAACCAGAAGACCCGTGCTGGATCAGACCAGTGAGGGCCCGTGTAGTCCAGCCTCCCGTCTCACACAGGGGCCAGCCAGTTCCTCCAGAGGGCCAACAACAGGGCAGAGAGGCCGAGGCCTTCCCCTGATAAGGACACCAGAAGAGCCCTGCTGGGTCAGACCAGGGAGGGTCCCTCCAGTCCAGCCTCCCGTCTCACACAGGGGCCAGCCAGTTCCTCCAGAGGGCCAGCAACAGGGCAGAGAGGCTGAGGCCTTCCCCTGATAAGGACACCAGAAGAGCCCTGCTGGGTCAGACCAGGGAGGGTACCTCTAGTCCAGCCTCCCGTCTCACACAGGGGCCAGCCAGTTCCTCCAGAGGGCCAACAACAGGGCAGAGAGGCCGAGGCCTTCCCCTGATAAGGACACCAGAAGAGCCCTGCTGGGTCAGACCAGGGAGGGTACCTCTAGTCCAGTCTCCTCCCTCACACAGGGGCCAGCCAGTTCCTCTGGAGGGCCCACAACAGGGGAGGGAGGCCGAGGCCTTCCCCTGATAAGAACACCAGAAGAGCCCTGCTGGGTCAGACCAGGGAGGGTCCCTCTAGTCCAGCCTCCCGTCTCACACAGGGGCCAGCCAGTCCCTCCGGAGGGCCAGCAACAGGGCAGAGAGGCCGAGGCCTTCCCCTGATAAGGACACCAGAAGAGCCCTGCTGGGTCAGACCACGGAGGGTCCCTCTAGTCCAGCATCCCGTCTCACACAGGGGCCAGCCAGTTCCTCTGGAGGGCCCACAGCAGGGCAGAGAGGCCGAGGCCTTCCCCTGATGTTGCCTCCTCGCTCTGGGATTCTAAGGTTGACTGCCTCTGAATGCGCAGGTTCCCCTTAGTCACTGTGGCTAGTAGCCCTTGATAGATTCATGCAGAATAAGTCTACCTAATCCCCTTTTAAAGCTGTCTATTCCTGTGGCCATCACCACATCCTCTGGCAGTGAATTCCACCTTTTAGTCACTCTCTGTGTAGAGAACTATTTCCTTTTGTCTGTCCTGAACCTGCTCCCCATCAGTTTCATTGGATGCCCTGGAGTTCGGGGTGGGGGGTTGGACAATTCTCTTGGCTTATGTATGACTTGAGCAGCTTAGCTTCTCTGTTTCTCCTGCTCGAAAAGCCCGGAATCCTTTGGGTAGGCCGGTGTTTGAAGTTGCAGATTTCAGGGCTGCTCCTCTGGAGTTGCACCCAACACTGGGGGCCCGTGGCGCTGTGGGTTGTGGAGATCCCAGCTCTTCCCTCCACGTTTCCTCTTGGCCTGGTGAGATCCAGGTCTCTCCCCTGAGGCTGTGCCCTCAGAAGGCTCCCTCTCTCGGGTCAGCCGCTGGACTCAGGAAGAGGGAGGTCTTCCGGATGGTCTGGTCTCTTCCTGGGCCACCGCTCATGCCTCCACTCCCCCCCCCCCCCCCGCAGGCTACCAGCTGTGCGACAACAGCGTGGGCGTCCTCTTCAACGACTCCACCCGCCTCATCATGTACAACGACGGGGACAGCCTGCAGTACATTGAGCAGAATGGCTCTGAGTCCTACTTCAACGTGCGCTCGTACCCAGACGGCTTCAGCAAGAAGGTCAGCGTGGGCTGGGGAGTGCCATGTGGGAGGGGAGCGGGCGGGCTCGGAAGGACCAATGTTTTCCTCTGATATTTTCCTCCTCCTGAGTGGAGCATTTCACAACCTGAGCAGAGCAGAACTGCTGTAATCTTAAAATGCAAACAACGATGAAGGCAACCGTTGACGTAGTATTTCTTCAACAAGTAATAAAGATGTACGCACGTGTGTGTGTATGCGTACATCTTTATTACTTGTTGAAGAAACACTGCTCACTGCAAAACAGCAGTCTGAAGATATTTTCATAATACTACATATCACGGTTGTTTTCGTCATGGCTTGCATCCTTCCCGCGATCTCTCTGTTGTTTCTGTAATCTTAATACGGGCAACAGGCAATGCAAGACCCTGTGCCGGCTCCAGATGGCTGCTGGGCGGGGCTTCCCATGTCAATGAGCGGCCGCTCACATGCACGGCTTAGAGCAGAGGTGTCGAACTCATTTGTTTCAAGGGCCAGATCTGACATAAATGTAACTTTGTCGTGCCCTGAAACGTAATGCCGGGTACCAGAGATATAAACTGTATAAAGGGCAGCAGCTGGTAAGCTCCATATCCTCACTGTAAGGCCCGATGGGCTGAGAAGGGGGGTGCAAATGAAAACCCACATGGGCGGACTGAAGAGCCAGCAATGCAGCACCGGGCAGACAGCTCCCACGCTGCTTGGCTTCCGCAGGCGAGGTTCTTCTGCCATGCTGAAGCCGCGATCGGAGTGGCTCCCCCCCCCCCCCCCCCCCCAAGCAGTTTCCTGTTCCCTCCCTTGCACAAGTTGCTCGTGGGCCGCATAAGAGCCCAGGATGGGCCAGTTCCGGCCCCCGGGCCTTATATTTGGCACCCCTTCCCTTCTGCAGTTATAGAGGGCCGTTACAAAAAGGTGCCTATGGCTGAGCGTGTTTGTCCATGTGGCACGGGCAAAGTAGAAACAATAAAACGTACTTTGCCTGGGTGTGGTCTCTACAAAGAAAGACGAGCCAAATTTATTCAACCTGTACTGGCGAAATTTATGGGTCTCCCGGACTCTGAATCGAGGAACATACTTTTGGCGGATTCTAACCCTCAAAGCTAGTTTGTTTCGATCTATGTTGGCCATGGGCTGTAATAATAATAAACTATGGAAACTATGTTTGATACCCTTGGCTGAGAGGGAGCCCTGGGCAGGACCACGAGCGAAAGGAAGAGCGCCCCCCCCCGAGACCAGTGGCTCGCCAGGGTGTCCTGAGGCGACGGCTGGTTTGGGGTAAACAAAGGAACAGGAAGGAGGAGGTGGATCCACCCCGGAAGAGGCTGGGCCTCGGCTCTGTGCAGCTGCCCAGGTTGGGTGCCCATCCTCTGCGGAGGTGCCCCCTCCCCCGGAAATCTAGCCAGGTCTCTCTGGCCCGCCTGCCAGTTCCTGTCTCTTGCTGGCTGCACCCCTGGCTCACGCGGGCACCCGTTTGCCTCGGCAGGTCACGCTGCTGGAGTACTTCCGCAACTACATGAGCGAGCACCTGCTGAAAGCCGGCGCCAACATCACCCCGCGGGAGGGGGACGAGCTGGCCCGCCTGCCCTACCTGCGCACCTGGTTCCGCACGCGCAGCGCCATCATCCTGCACCTGAGCAATGGCACCGTGCAGATCAACTTCTTCGAGGTGAGTGGCTGGAGCCCCCAAGGCGGTCGTGTGGCGCAGTGGTTAAAGCGGTGGGCTAGGGTCAGGGAAGAGCCGGCTTCAGATCCCTGTCCCACCATGGGAGCTCGCTGGGTGACCGTGGGCTGGTCACATGCTCTCACTTCCGCTGGCCTCGCAGGGTTGTTGTGAGGATACAGTAGAGTCAAGGAGGGCAATGTCAGCCCCACGGGGGAGAAATCAACAAAGTGAATAAAATAAGCTCTGCTCCAGGGCTGGAACTCACAGGCCAAGCCAAGTTTAGAAGCCGGGTTTCCTGGAAGAGGAAAGAACGGAGCCCCGTTCTCCTAGGGCCAGTGCTTCCTCTAAGCTATAGAGTCCTGTGAGCAAAAATTCTACTTTGTGAGCTCCTGGCCTTCAAGTTGTGAGCAGGTGATTTGTCTACTGCATCAGTTAGTATGCCCCGAAGCCCCATCCTTCCTGAGCTAAGACAAAAATCTGTGAGCGGGAGGCTAAAAAACTGTGAGCTAGCTCACACAGACTCCAGCTTAGAGGGAACACTGCCTAGGGCTGCCTGCAATTGGACTGGAGACCTTTTCCAGCTTAGAGGAATGCCAGCAGCCTCCAGGTGGGGCCTGGGGATCCCCCTGGAATTCCAGCTCATCTTCAGACTGCAGAGATCAGCTCACATGGAGGAAACGGATGCTTTGGAGGGTGGACTCCGTGGCATTGCGCCCCACGTGGGAGGTCCCTGCCCTCCCCAGGCTCCACCCACAAGTCTCCAGGAGTTTCCAGGCCTGGAGCTGGCAACTCTGCCCCCCTCCCAGCCACCTCCAACCAGTGGACAGGGGGGCCCTGGCCACCCTACCCATTAGGGAATCTTTTAGGTAAGCACGGGCTGTGGGCGGGTTCATTTTGTGTCGGTGTCCCAGTCCTGGAAACCTAATCAAGCTGTCTTGAATTGACATAGGTCAAGATCGGGAGCCCTGTCTGTCTCTCTCTGGCAGTAGACAAGAGCCAGGAGTCCAGGAACACCTGAAAAACTCACAAACCAGGTGGCCAAGGATGAGCTTTCACTGAGTCACTGCTTACGGAAGCTCCTACTCTGCCACATATTTTGTTAGCCTTTGAGGTGCTCTTCGGCTCTTGCTCTTTTAATTGACAATGTAAGTTCATTAGTTGTTGTAGACTTTCCGGGTTGTCTGGCCGTGGTCTTGGTATTGTAGGACCTGACGTTTCGCCAGCAGCTGTGACTGGCATCCTCAGAGGAATAACACAGAAAGACGGAGTACTCTCTGTGTCAAGGTGAGAAGGAAAATGGTAGGCAGGTAACTTATATCTACTCAGGAAGGTGGGGTAGGGCTGAGTCATTATCTTGTAGGAGTTCCCCCAGGCTGTGAAACATGCTAATAGAGGAGCTTTCCTGCGGAGGTTCTTTTGCATATGGATTGGCTGTTGAAATTCTAATCTTACCTGTAGTGCTGTTGTCAGATGTGGAGCCTTTTGTGTTTTTCAGGACAGGAAACACCATGCCCTGTTTATTTTTAAACTCTCTTCTTTCCTGTTGAAATTGTGTTTTGTGCTTATGAATTTCAATGCCTTCCCCGTGTAATCTGACATGGTAATTGGATGTGTTGTCCAGCCCTTCAGTGCCTTGAAACAAAATACCGTGTCCTGTTTGAGTCAAGTTTGATTGCAGTCCGGCCTCTCCTGTTCTTCTCCCCCCTTTAACCCTCTTTCCTCCCCCTCCCCTCCTCCAGGACCACACCAAGGTCATCCTCTGCCCCCTGATGGCGGCCGTCAGCTACATCAACGAGAAGCGTGAGTTCCGGACCTACAAGCTGAGCCTGATCGAGGAGTTCGGCTGCAGCAGGGAACTGGCCAACCGCCTCCGCTTCGCCCGCACCATGGTGGAGAAGCTGCTGGCCTCCAAGGCCGTCCCCGCTGTCCCCAAGCCTTCGGCCTAGAGCCCCGGCCGGGGCAGAGGACCGTCTCCCACTCCCGACAGCGCTCCACGGGCAGTGACGTCGCCCCGGAGCCACAGTGCCTGCCTCTCCGTCTCCAGGCCAGCTTCCAGCCGGAGCGGTCTGTTCTTCCAGCTTCCTGGCAAAGCACACGCAACAGGGCCACCTCCCCCCCCCCACCCCCCAATTTTGGTGGAGAAGTCGCCCTCCCGTTGCCTGGCATCCAGCGCTGCAGCCCTTCCGCACGAGGGGGGTGTTTGTTCTGTGAACTTCAGGTGGCCCACGGCCTACCCTTTTAAATACTAAAAATGAATAAAATAAAGGTCCTTTTCTACACTGAGAAAGCCTTCCTTGGGAGAAGAACGCATCTGCAGCAGCCGGCGTGAAGGCGTCTGGGTCGGAACACCGGCTTGAGAACCGAAGACATCTTTACCGGGGGTGGGGGGGATGTAAGGGGCACTCCCCAGCCAGGCTCCGGGGCCTCGAGATGTGTCGTCCCGGAGGAAGCCATTGGATTTATACCCTGCCCTTCAGTTTGGTGTAGCGGGTTAAGTGCGCGGAGTCTAATCTGGGAGAGCCGGGTTTCATTCCCCACTCCTCCTCCACACGCAGCCAGCTGGGTGACCCTGGGTCAGTCACAGTTCTCTCAAGAGCCGTTTCTGTCAAGAGCTCTCTCAGCCCCACCTACCTCCCAGGGTGTCTGTGTGTTGTGGGGAGGGGAAGGGGAAGGAGTTTGTAAGCCGCTCTGAGACTCCTTTGGGTAGTGAAGGGTGGGATATAAATCCAATCTCCTCTTCTTCTTCACTACCTGAAGGAGCCTCAGAGCAGTTTACAATCTCCTCTCCCTTCCCCACAACAGACACCCCGTGAGGTAGGTGGGGCTGAGGGAGCCCTCCCGAGAACTGCCCTTGAGAGAACAGCTCTGAGGGGACTTGTGACTGACCCAAGGTCGCACCAGCTGCATGCGGAAGCGTGGGGGATCAAACCCGTTTCTCCCAGATTAGAACACACTGCTCTTAAGCACAACACCAAACTGGCTCTTTAGGAAACGAGAGTGAGGGCCAGGGGCCAATCACAGGTGTGCTCTCTGCCTTGGACAGAGCCAGAGTCCCGGAGCACCCAAAAGACGAACAGAATTTGTGGCAGTGACTTGTGAAGGCTCTTCCAGAGCCACAAATTTTGTTCGCCTTGAAGGTGCTCCTGGACTCTGGCTCTTTTCTGCCGCTGCAGACAGACTAAGACGGCCGCCCATCTTGAGCGAGCTGCCTTGACAGGTAGGCTACGGCGGAGCGGGCACCAAGAAGGAAACGCACCTCCTCCTTCAGGCAGGTGTGTTCCCCAAGAATGGCGGGCTGGCCGGCCGGCCCCAGTCCCACAAGAACGCTTCTGCTACCCCACCCTCCTTCCAAAGACCTTGGGGGGGTGGGGGGGGGACACACGATCCCCTCTGTGAAGCAGCACCACGGGCTGAGGGAGGATCGGAACCCGGAGCTCCCCTGGCCTGCCCCCAAAGAAGCCTTGGTGGGAGGTGCTTCACGGTGACATGGCAAGGGAGGAGGCCTGATGGTTGGCCATCACGTGGTCTCGATCCAAGGGTCCTCCCACTCCCCCTTCTTTCTCTCCGGGGACCCTGAGGGGGGAGAGCTGGGTTGTTTGTGAGCCAGAGACGGCAGGCGTCGAGGGCCGGAAGCCTTCCCCAGCTGCCCCACTGCCAAGGCTGGGGTGGGAAAAAGTGGTCTCCCTCGACGACAGCTAACGGTGAAAGCCTGGTTTGGGGTTTGTTTTTTTTTAATATACAAAACAGTTTTTTAAAAGAGTGTCTGTGCTAGGAGCCCCCAGCTCTGTTCGGCGGTGGGGGCCCCAGGCCTGCCGTCACTGGGCAGATCCGAGAGGCTGGGCCTTCCTCCCTCGGAGGACAGGCCGGAAGTGCTGCGAAAGGCTCTTGCTGGTGAAGGCGGGTCCTCCACACGTCCCGGTGCCCTCGGCCGGCGCGGCGGATGTCTGGGACTCTGGCAGGGAGCGGCAGCGGGGTGGAGTCGGCAGCCAGCTCTGCTCTCCTCCTCCAGCTGGGCCACACAGCGCCCCTCCTCGGGGAAGGAGGCCTGGCCCTGCCCTCAGCGGCTCCTAGCAGTAATACCGCCGGAAGAGGCTCTCGCCGGCACAGGAGCGCATGGCGCGGTGGGTGTGCAGGAGGAGGTGGGGGAAGCGAGAGGTGAAATATTGGACAAACTCGTGCGGGACCCCGCCGAGGGTCTCCTGGACGTCTTGGGGCAGTTCACGGTAATGATGCTTCTGGCGAGGGA